CCCCAAAACCCCAAAACCCCAAAACCCCGTTTAATATCTGCAACTTTGAATTTATACAACTAAAATAAAATGGGTGGTTGTTGAGACAAAGATAAGAAGGAAGACGGAGAAATTGTTGATGAGGATTTAGTCACAGATCAAGTTATTAAAGAGACTATTCTACCTCTTGGGAAGGCGATTAAGCCAAAGTCTGAAAAGGAAGTAATGGCAAAGATAGAGAATCATCTTATGAGCAAGAAAAGTACTATGGGAAAGAATTTAGAAGTCAATTATCTCAAAGAGAATTCTTGTGTAATTCAAATTTCTAATGGTTTTTTTTGTGCTTATTTGTAAGCAATGATTATTGAGAAGATAAGCAAGAGAAAAAATTTAAATGACTCTGAGAAAATATTAGTTTTTACAAAGAGAGAAAATTAGGTATTCTTCTTATCTCTTTAGAGAACTAAAGTTAGAATAGCAAAAATAAAAATGTAAAATCTCTCTTCAAATTTTATCGCTGACTAGAAATTTCTAAAATCTCGAAATAAGAACTGTTTGCGATGGAGTGAAGAATATGACTCTTACTCTTTATTTCATGCTTTATAATACTCTAAAGCTCTCTGAGTAAAAACTAGAGCTTAGCAGTTAGATTGTACAGGTTTGTCAATCAAAATATCGCAGAAAATTTTAAAGTAAATTAGCTTCTAAAATATATGTCAAATAAAATATGCATATAGTCGAATCAAAAGTTCAAAGTAGAATCAAGTCTCTCATATTTGGATAGTTCTTCTGACGATGAAGTCTATATTCCAGTGAGCAAGATGGAAATTCCTGATGATGTAGAAAATAAGAGTGATATGAATAATGGAAATAAAAATCAAAAGAACAATCCTTCTGTTGAAAGCAACACAATAGAAAGAGATAAGCAAGGGGCTAAAACAAGGAATGATCAAAAAGCAAAATCTAGTCAAAAGAAAAATAACTCCAAACCTAAAAATGAGAGAGCTAAGCTTGGAGCTAAGAATAATATTTATGGTATTCCAGGTTATACTACATCTGTTGATTTGGGAAGCTATCAGGTAATTCCAGGCTCATTCGGTGGCCATCAAATAGGCTCTTCAGGAATTTCATTTAAGCCTTCTCAGATTGGGCTTAATAGTAGATACCATAATCTTGAGAGGAATCATACAACAAATTTCTCTAACTTAGATAATGATTTTCCTCAAACTGGACTTCTTGGCAAAATAAACAAGAATGGCCTCCTTCATGCTGATACTTTATTAAATCAATGGAAAATGCCAAGCGGATTCGACACAACCAATAAATTTGGCTTTTAAATGTTTACCAACCATAAAACCCTATTAAAACACACATCAATCCATAAACTCCCCCAAGGGGTTTTGGGGTTTTGGGGTTTTGGGGTTTTGGGG